TAAAGGTGTGCACCACCACCACTACCACCACCACCACCACCACCACCACCACCACCACCACCCAGCCAGGGGAGATTTTAAAATTAAGCCAAGAAACGAGCCTGGGCAGCAGAGTATAAGAGAAGTTTGTGTGACTCACACCAGAAGCGTCAGAGTTCTTCTTCTGTCAGCACTCTACCTCGAGTTGCCCCTTGTGTTCCGTGTGAGCTGTGCTGTATGTGTGTGCCCTTGCTGAGGATGACACCACCTCTCCTCACTCTGATGTGGAAAGTGACTTTATCTTTAGCCAACCAAAGTGGACAAAGAACCTTTTAAAACTATTTTAGGTGGTAGTGATAATTTTTCTAAACACTGATTCAGAAGAGGTTTTATTTAAGTTTTTTTTTTTAAAAAAATGTTTCCATGGAAAAATCACACTGAACATTTCCAATTAATCATGCTAAAAGGAACAATTTTAACCCCTAGGTCTTTCCTTAAAATATAAGTGAAACATTATCTATCAGTCAGTCTAGTTGTTTGGAATAGATGAATTCTTAAGGTAATAAACACATCAAAGAAAAACATCATAATCGAATTAGGGGCCCAGGGAACAAGGCTCGACTTTATCAAAGCAGGGGAGAGAGAGACAAGCTAAGATCTGAAGTTTGAGTTACTTGAAAAATTCCTGTAGTTTATGAAGAGGTTTCACCTCCTCAAGAGCAGTGAAGCCAGTCTTTGTGGTACATTCCTGTAATCCCAGCACTTGGGAGGTAGAGGCAAGAAAACTGTAAATTCCAGGATAACCTGGGCTTTTCTCCAAAAAAAGAAAAGAAAAAGCAGAGGCAGTGTGTTGAGAAAAAGTTTTGCACAGTCCTGTGGGGATATTTTGACCAGCAAATCTAAACCAAATAGCCTGGTTTCCGGAATTTGCTCTGGGCCTGTGTCTCTATGAAATAAGCCCTATTGTTTGTAATTTCCTTTTGTAACTCATGATATTACTGTCTTGCTCCCTAGTCCCTAGATTTGCTTAGAATGGCTTCAGAAAGGAACAGACCTCAGTGAAAGGCAGACACCATTCCTTATTAGGTGGCTTTAGTGAGCAAACTCAGCAGTCTGATCCTCAGTTTGTTCTCTGTCAGATTTTAACACCCATCTGATTCTATATACTCACTGCAGACCTGGCAGGGTGTGTGTTTAGAAGGGAAACAGTGCTTAACTTTGCTTAACTTTAATTTTCAAATCTAGAGGTTTCATGAATCTTTACTTTTTGATTTTTTCAAGACAGGATTTCTCTGTGTAGCTTTGCGCCTTTCCTGGATCTCACTCAGTAGCCCAGGCTGGCCTCAAACTCACAGAGATCTGCCTGGCTCTGCCTCCCGTGCGCCACCGCTGCCCGCCCCAAATCTTTACTTTGATGAGTGGTTTGTTTGATTGGGGTTGTGTTTTCATTGAGGGTGAAAGATACAAACCCACCGTTAAGAGAACGCGAGCGTGCGGCTGGTCACACAGCACATTGTCCTGTCTTTCCCCGGCTAGCCCCGAGACAACACAACACAGGCACCCTCTGGTAGCTTAGAACCACCATCCATCCACTAAAACTCAAAAAAAAAGCCCATTTACCCCAACATAGACTCTTCATCTCCATACAGAAGAATAAAAATACAATCTCTGTGCACTGTCGTTTTAATCTTATATTAAAACTAAAACACATTTTCCTTTTCTTTTTATGTCTACAGATCAAACGCCTACTCCGACTAGATTCCTGAAGAACTGTGAGGAGGTGGGGCTCTTCAATGAACTAGCTAGTTCCTTTGAACATGAATTTAAGAAAGCTGCAGATGAAGATGAAAAAAAGGTAAGTATGACTGAAAAAAATACTGGTAGTGGTTAGACTTAGGCTATTTTCGTTGTGCCTTGAGATAATTTGCTTGACTGGTTAAAATCCCAAATCATGGAATTAGTTCTATAAAATTAGACAGTACTCAGTAAGCCTAGCCACTCATCCAGGTCTTAGGGGCAAAGGTAAGACAGGTCTCACCATGTAGTTGGGGATAGCCTCTATGTCACTTTGTAGCCAGGAAAACCTCAAGCTCATGGTGATCCCCTTGCTTCATTTTATCGAGGCCTGGGCTGACAAGCATGTGCTACCACATTTAACACCTAGCGTCAGGGAGATGCTAACATCTACCATCAGTTGTGGGTGCTGGGGTCTTAACTCAGATCATAATTACTTTTCTGACAGTCCTCTAAGTAATCTCTTTGTTTCCCTTGTAAATATGTGGACGATGTTAAAAGAATATGACAGGGCTAGAGAGATGGCTCAGTGGTTAAAAGTGCTTGTTGCTCTTACAGAGTACCCAGATTCAGTTCCCAACACCCATGCTGGCAGCTCACAACCACTCCAGGAGATCTGGCACACACTTCTGGCTTCCTGTAGCATGAATATACACATATTGTACACATAAAAAATAACAAAAGTTTTGAAGAATATGAATTGGGAGGTTGAGGCAGAGGTTTACAAAAGATTCAAAGTCAGACCGTGCTATATAGTAAGTTCCAGGTCAGCTTAAACTACAGAGACACTGACTCAAACAACCAGACAAAAGTATGAGTTACTCAGGTTTTATTAGGTAATTTTTTATTCAAATTATCTTTGGGAGTGGCTAGAGTGCTAACACATGCAAGGGCCTGAGCTCACACACCGCCACCCCAGTATAAGAAAACAAGTACCACTGTTTATAAACTGATTGGGCAGTTTTTTATTCATTCATTCATTCATTGATTTATTCACTTTTTTTGAGGCAGGGTCTCATTGCTATGTAGCCCTGGCTGGCCTCAAATTCATAGACCTCTACCTGCCTCTGCCTCCTGAGTGCTGGGATTAAAGACTTACTTGTGTTATTTTTATTCAGTTTTCCAGCCAACTAATGTGTTGAATTTCCTCTCTTTTTTGTTTCCCTGTGTGTGGTTTTGCATTCAAGTAGCTTCCTAGTGCTACTTGATAATACCTGGGGCAGTGGTTCTCAACCTTCCTAATGCTGTGACCCTTTAGTACAGTTCCTCGTGTTGTGGTGACCCCCAACCATAAAATTATTTCCATTGCTACTTCATAACTGTAATTTGCTACTATTATGAAATGTAATGTAAATATCTAGTATGCAGGATATCTGATATGCAACCCCTATGAAAGGGTTGGTCAATCCCCAAACGATCCACAGGGTGAGAACCACTGACCTAGTGCATTAAAGAAAAATGTTTTTAGCTGAGTGTGATGGCACACATCTATATTTGCCACACTTAAGAGGCTAAGGCAGGAGGATCACAAGTTTGAGACTGTCTCAAAATAAAATAAGGTTGTTCTTATAACCTTGCAAAGAAGATCAGTCAGGATGATGAAAGAAGTTAGGTCACTTTGGGAACATTTCAAGAAATTGAGAAAGTTTTTGCTTAGAATAGAGATTTAATATGAACAAAAGTACAGTCTTGAAAGACTTCAAAGTTGGTTTTTTGTGTTTGTTTGTTTGTTTTTAATAAAAGAGGGATTACATGCCAGGAATGGTTGTATATAGTTGTAATCCCAGCACTTAGCAAGCTGAGGCAGGATTATCTTAAATTTGGCTGCATAACGAGTTCTAGGCTACATAGTAAAACTCTGTTTCAAGCTGAGCAGTGGTGGCACATACTTTTAATCCCAGCACTCGAGAGGCAGAGGCAGGCAGATCTCTGTGATTTTGAGGACAGCCTGGTCTACAGAGTTAGTTCCAGGACAGCCAGGGCTACACAGAGAAAAACCCTGCCTCAACTCCTGGTCTTTATATGTCAGCCTTCCAAGTGCTGGAACTACATTTATACATCACACCTGGTATATCAAGCTCAATAGGCAAATTCAAGAAAAATAACTTCCCTGGGTTGGCAAGATGCAGATAAAGCACTCACCACCAAACGATGATTGGAGTTTGATCTCAGGACCCACACAGTGAAAGGGGATGATTGGAACTAGAGAGACGGCTTAGCAGGTAAAAGCACTTGCTGCTGGATGTGATTCCCAGCACCCACCTGGTGGCTTAAAACCATCTGTAACTCCGGTTCCAGGGGATCTGACACCCTCTTCTGGCCTCCTTGGCACCGGGCACACAAGTGGTGCACAAACATGCATGCAAGCAAAGCATACATACACATAAAATAAGAAACAAAGGAGAGAACTGGCTCTCAAAAGTTGTCCTACAACTTTCACATGCACACTGTAGCACACACGTGATCACAGACATGTACACACACTAAATAAATAAGATGAAGAAAGAAATAGAATTTAAAAATTTTGAAGTTTTCCTGCTTCACTGCTTTATCTTTCCTGCTGACATTTTCAGCTCACTTGACACTTTCCTTAGTGTCCTTCGGTGTTTCTCTCTGTCTATTCAGGGGTGGTCTTTACTTCCCCTTGATGAGAAGCACAGATGGAGTGGAGTATTATCTCCAGGGGTATTTAATGATCCTGAAACTTGCCTAAACCACAATTTTTATAGGAGATGCCTCTTGGGAATTCTAAAGGAAGTTGTTTTTTCTTTGCAGCTTCCCTTCCCATCACTGTCTCAGAATGAGCTGAATTGGCTCTGACATTTAGCAGTGTAGAAAAAGTGAAGCAGAAATAAAACCCTTTGGTGTTTCTCACCCTTGTCAAGTGGAGCAGAACCATTGCCACCTCTTTATTACAACCCACTGGATTAGTTTGCTGCTGAGGCTTCCAGGGGTCAAGGTAGGGAGTAATGGTGTACACCTGTCATCCTAGCACTTGGGACATGGAGGTGGAAAGATCATAAGTTCAAGGCTAGCCTAAGATACATAGTTGAGACCATGTCTGGGGTTGGGTAAGGAAGGGGTAGGAACAAACTCCCCTTTCACCAAGAAACCTAGGATACAGGAAGAAGAGAATAAAAACTCTACTTTGACATGAAACTGAACTGCAAGGCCAACCTTTTTCTCATGGTACAATGTCAGGCTTGTTATCTCAGATGGTATACGATCCCCTGCAAAGCCGTTTATAGTTCCAGTTAAGTCAGGCAGTCGTACCTCTGCCAGGAAAGTTCTTTACTTTCTGGTTTCTCTGGTACTGCCTCTAAGACCAAGTTCTAATTTTTTTCATTGATGAGATGACCAGCCTTTCCTTTCTTGGTTATCCCCAAACCCTCTATGCCTGAAGTTTCTAGCCTCCAGCCCTAAACAGATTGTGATCACCGTCTAGCATGGCAGGTTCCTCCAGAAAAGATCTTTTCTATCTTGTTTGCAATAGTTTAATAGGTAGTTTGTCTTCTGTTGCTTTTGGTAACTGGTTAACTAAGGCATTCTGATTGGCAGAGATAGTGTTCACAGCTTTCCAATGACCAGCAAAGCTGGTTGGAAATTGATAGGTAATTGATTCAGGAGTCTTTATACTTTGCTGGGGAAAAATATTATAAATGTAATATTTGCATGGATTTAAGTGGCATTTATTTTACATGTTTTTAGGCATTATAAGTACTTGCTTGCAGCTGATCTTCTCTTCATTTTGTGACTTGGCCAGAGTCTACATGAAGCATGAGTCCATGTTTCTTTGGCATTTGCAGTTCAGTGCTTTGACCAAGAGCTGAACTCGGTAAGGCAAATGCCCTTATCTGCTTACAAGCATCCTGAAACTGAATTCCATTTACTGTTTTCCCAACAGGGTGCTGCTGGGCCTCTTGACATGTCTCTGCCTTCTACACCAGACATCAAAATCAAGGAGGAGGAGCCGGTGGAGGTAGACTCATCGCCCCCCGACAGCCCTGCCTCTAGCCCCTGTTCCCCACCACTGAAGGAGAAGGTAAAATTGTCTCCCAGAAGTCATCCCCAATGTTCATTTTGATCCATAAATGGTATAAGGAGGATTGATTGGATTCAAAAGAATGAATATTTTTTTCTTTTCCTCTTTTCATTTCTTCTCTCCCCCCCCACCCCTGCCATTTTTTAACAGCATCTCATTGATGTAGCCCAGGCTGGATGTGAACTTAACCCTCCTGCCCTAGTCTCCAAAGTGCTAGGATTATGGATGCGTATTTCTATACATAGTTTGAAAAGAATCTTAAATATTTAAGCAATGTAAATAAATTACACCTATTCAGTCATTCATCAATCATACTTCCAACTCTAAATTGAAGAGAGTTTAGTTTGTATGTGTACCAGTAGAAATAAGTAAGAATGTTCATAGAAATTTTATTCATTTTTTTTAAAAGTGTCTGGGAGCTGGAAAGATAGCTTAGTAGGTAAAAGTGCTTGTTACACAAGCATGTGAACTCAAGTTCACATCCAGAACTTCCAGGTAAACATACTCCCCAGGTATGTGCCCATGATTCAAGTGCTCCTGCTATGAGATGGCAGGTACAGATAGATAGAAAAATACCCTTGGAAGCTACCTAGCCTGGTGTTTATAGTGGTAAAAGAAGAGCCCCTGTCTCAAAATAAGAATGAAGGGGAGGACCAAACCCAGTAGTTGTTCCCTGACTTCCACATGACCACATTCACACACAAACATACATATACCACATACATACTTGTAGGAAGAAGTTTCTGTGCCACCACTTCCCAAATAACCAACATGGAGACTTAATACTAATTACAGATGTTCAGCCAATAGCTCAGGCTTGTTACTAGTTAGCTCTTACATTTATGTTAACCCATATTTCTTATCTATGCTTTGCCACATGGCTTGGTACCTTTTTTCAGTGTGGCATTCCCATCTTGTTTCTCTCTCTTCATCTCTGGCGACTCCCCTGACTCCACCCTTCTTCATCCCAGAATTCTCCTATTCTGGCTCTCCTGCCTAAACTTATTTTGTTCAGCTATTGGCCAGTCAGCTTCTTTATTAAACCAATCACAGTGACATATATTCACACAGTATAAAGGAATATTTCACAGTACATACTAAGATTTTCTAAAGTAGAATATGATATAGCATTGGATGAACTAGGCTGAGGATGAAATTTAGTGGTAGAGCATCTGCCTATCCTGTGTAAGGCTGTGGGCTCAATCCTGAGTACCACAGAAAGAAAGAGGAGAGAGGGGCGGGAGGAATGAAGGGAAGGTGGACAGATAGATGGTTGGAAGGAATACATACCAATATGCTAAATTTCACAAACATTGAATAACAAAAAAGACACAAAAGTACATACTGCATGGTTCCATTTACAGGAGGTCCAAGAAGATGTAAAATTATTTGATGGAAGATCTCAGAATAGTGTGGTGGTGTATACCTGCAGTGCCAGCTGCTAACAAGGGTGAGATGGGAGGATTACTTGAGCCTCAGGAATTTGAGACCAGCCTGGGGAACACAGCAAGATGCTATCACAAAGAGGATCCCATGAAGGGGACAAAAAGGGAAAGAGGATAAATAGAGTAGTGAGCACCTCTCATGATGGAAGAGTGTGAATTAGGAAAAGACACAGGGACATCTTCTCGGGTGCTGGAAATGGTCTCCATCCTGATTTTGCTTATGCAAAAGTAGTTTCACTGTAATGACTTGAGAGTAGTTGTACTTCAGTAAGTAAAAAAGAAGTCAGGTATGGTGGCACATGCTTTTAACTACAGCACTTGAGGGTCAAAGGTAGGTGGATCTCTGTGAATTTAAGGCCAGCCTGTTTTATATAGTGAATTCTGAGTCAGGGGTACATAGTAAGACCCTGCATTTTTGTTTTTTAAAAAGAAAGAAAATAAAAAAAGAGAAGCTAGGCATGGTGGTACACACCTAACATCCAAACACTTGGAAGGTGGAGACAGAAAGATCAGGAGTTCTGGGTTATGGTTGGTTACTTGGTGAGTTCAAAGCCAGCCTAAATTGGGCTGCATAAGAGCTTGTCTCAAAGAAAAAATAAAAAGGCCAGCTGGATGGCTCAGCAGGTAAAGGTATCTTCTGACAACCTGAGTTTGAGCCCCAGGACCTGCATGATGGAAGGAAAGAACTGACTTCTTGTAAGTTGCCCTCTGATTTCCACAAGCCTCCAACCACAAAGAAATAAGTAAAAAAGATAAAACCATGTAATTCATTGATTGCACATGTCTTTTAGTTAGGGTGACTATTGCTGTGAGGAAGCACTGTGACCAAAGCAACTTAGGGAGGAAAGGGTGTGTTTGGCTTACACTCCACACCACAGTTCATCATCAGAGGAAGTCAAGACAGGAACTCACACAGGGCAGGAACCTGGAGGCAGGGGCTGATGCAGAAGCCATGGAGGATGCTGCTTACTGGCTTGCTCCTCATGACTTACTCTTGTAGAATCCAGAACCACCACCAGCTCAGGGATGGCCCCACCCACAATGGGACGGAGAGTATTTATAGTGTGTCAAGTTGTCATAAAAGTATCCAGCACAAGACATTAAACTATTAGGAAAAAAAATCCTCCCAGAGGGAAATAACTTAAAGGGATTATTTGTTAGAGTATTTA